AAATAAAAGGTCTCGGGGCGGAGGGGCGCGCTGGCTGGTGGGCGGGGCCGGGGGTGCGTAAGGGCCGTGCTGCGCCGAACTAAAAGGGTCGGGGCGGAGGGGTGTGCCGTGCCGAAAGAAAGGGGTCGGGGCAGAGAGGGGCGCGCTGGCTGGTGGGTGGGAGGGGGGGGGCGGAATGGGGGTGCGCCGTGCCGGAAGTAACTGGGGTCGGGGCGGAGGGGTGAGGCCGTGCCGCAAATATAATGTCGGGGCGGATAGGTGTGTGCCGTGCCGAAATAAAGGAATTGGGTTTGATAAAGGGCGAGCTGGCTGGCGGGGTGGGGTGGGGGGGGGCGTAGGGGGGTGCCGTGCCGAATTGAAGAGGTCGGGGCAGCTGTAACCGTGCAGGCGCCGAATAAAAGCCACGGGCAAGGAGGGGCGCACTGGCTGGTGGGTGGGTGTGTGTGGGGAGGGGGGGGGGGCGTAGGGTGTGCGCCGTGCCGTTAAAAGGGAGGTCGGGGAGGAGGGGTGTGCCGTGCCGATATAAAGAGGTCGGGGCGCGAGGTGGTACGCAGTGCCGAAATTAAAAGGGGTCGGGGCGTGAAGGGGTGTGTCGTCTGCCGAATTATAAAAGGCCGCGCGGAGGATGCGCGCTGGCTGGTGGGTGGGGGTGGGGGGGGCGTTGAGGGTGGTGTGCCGTGCCGAAATAAAATTCGCGGCGGAGGGGTGTGCGTGCCGAAATAAAGCGGTGAGGGCGGAGGGGAGCGCTTGGCGGTGGGTTTGGGTTGGGGAGGGGGGTGGCCGTGCCGGAAAATAAGGTGGTCTGGGGCGGAGGGGGTGTTGCCGTGCGAAATTAAAAGGGCGGGGCGGAGGAGGCGCGCTTGTCAGGTGGGTGGGGTGGGGGGGCGGTTAAGGGGTTGTGCCGTGCCGATATAACAGGGGTCGGGGCGGAGGGATGTGTGCCGTGCCGAAATAAAAGGGTCGGGGCCGAGGGGCGCACTGGCCGGTGAGCGCGGGGAGGGCGGAGGGGGCGTGCCGTGCCGGAATGAAAGGGTCGGGGCAAAGGGGCGCGCCGCGCCAAAATAAGGAGGTCGGGGCGGAGGGGCGCAGTGGCTGGTTGGTGGGGGGTGGAGATGCGTAGGGGGTGTGCCGTGCCGAAATAAAGGGGTCGGAGCGGAGGGGTGTGCCGTGCCGAAATAAAAGGGTCGGGGCGGAGGGGCGCGCTGGCTGGTGGGCGGGGGGGAGGGGGGGCAGAAGGGGGTGCGCCGCGCCGAAATACAGGGGTCGGGGCGGAGGGGTGTGCCGCGCCGAAATAAAAAGGTCGGGGCCGAGGGGCGCACTTGCTGAAGGGGTCGGGGCGGAGGGGCGCGCTGGCAGGGGGGCGAGTGTGTGTGTGTGTGTGTGTGTGTGTGTGTGTGTG